GGGCGACCTCGTGCCCAGGGTGCATGGTGAGGCCGTCGCAGACTCTTGTCCCCTGGGGGCAGGACCCCCAACCTGGGCTCATTCAGCTCTTGCTTAAAGGGCGGAGGCCCTGGGGTGGCTGGTGGGCTGTCCCTTGCTGGGGGCCTTGAGTGGGTCACCAGCAGAGACATGGGCCGGTCTCTGTCACTTGGCTTGCTGTGGCCGGCCTGGCAGTGAACTGTCACCACTGGTGGCCTTAATGAGGCGGCTCCTGGGAGCCCGGCCGCCCTCCCGGCAAGACTTGGGCCTCTCCCCACTGGCCAACTCAGGGCCCCCGAGTCTCAGGTTTCCTGAGGGTCTTGTCCAGTCACTGTCGGCTCCAAGAACCCACCCAGCTCCAAGCTTTGACTAAAGCAGACTTTCTGGAGGGAGAGTGAATGGGGCAGTGAGGAGGCGGCCTGGCTGCCCACTGCCCAGGGGCCACCAGGGGGCCGCTGACGGGTGAGACCAAGGACCCCCCTTTAAGGGGAGATGGCGCCCCCACCCAGACTACGACACCAGGCTGGACCGAGGGACTCTCCTCCTGAGCACCTTGGTCCCCAAGGAGCTCACCCCCGCCAGGAGCTCGAGCAGAGAGAGATGGGTAGGTGCCCATGGAGGTCCGTGGTTGGGATGGGGCGCTGTGAAGAGGCGGGGCCCCCCTCAGTCCCCCAGAGACGGATGGACAGGTGAGACGGGGGCCACGGGCCGGCCGGCGCTGGGCTCCTGGTGGAGGAGGGACCGTCGGCTCAGGCAGGTGGTGGTTTCCCGTTTCCCCGGACACGTCGGCGGACATAAGTGGACGGCGTGTGCTCCGTGAAGAGCGCTGTATTTTTCAACCCGCCATCCGAGTTTTGGGGCCTCCCTGTGCAGCCTCAGCCCTGCCCCAAGGGGCTCACAGTCTGTGGGCGGGGAGACAGGCCAGGAGTTTGTCTAGCAGGGGCTGATGAGGGGCTGGGGTGGGGGGCATGCCAGCTAGTCCTGAGGAGGCGGGCGAGGTGGGGGGTGCTCGGGGAAGCGGTGGCCTGGGTGGGGGTGTAGAGGGGTCGGTGTGGGCTGCGGGGAGAGAGGGCGGGAGCACGGGCTGCTGGAGGGGCAGCCGGCTGCTCGGGCCCTGGGAGGACAGCCTCGGGGCGAGGCAGGGCCCGCCAGCTGCTCGCTTCACTGTGGGAAAACCAAGGCTGAGGGGGAAGGACCGGCTGAAGGTCAGGTGGGTCTCCCAGTGGCCCCTAGGGAGTCGGGGACCCTGCCAGGAAGGACGTCCTCTGGACCTGGCCAGCCCTCCGAGGGGCCTCCAGAGGGTCCGACTGCATTTTACAGATGACACAGCTGAGGCTGCCCAGCTCTTCCAGGAGGGGCAGGCTGCTGGGGAGGTCTGGCTTGGCCCTGGCTGGTTCTGCTGCCACCCCAGGTGCCAGCCCTGACTGCACGCAGGAGGATGGGGGCCAGGGCGGAGGGAGACTTCGGGTCCCCTGGGTGGAGGGAGACCGGTTAAGGGGCCCCTTCCTCAGCGTCAGTCCCTCGGTGCCTACGGAGCTCTGAGCTGGAGGCCATGGGGACACCTTGGTGAATGTCTCCGTTCAGCTGTGAGCCCCAGGGCCAAGGCTGCCCCTGCGGTGCCCAGGACAGTGGCCGGCTGTGGCTTGGGCTCCGGTCAAGTGCAGTCGCCTGATCTCCACTAATGGAGGAGCTGTCATTTGCAGGGTCCTGCACAGACTTGACAGTTTGTGTCTGGGGGACCTGGCTTGCCCCGTCCCACACCCCAGGCCTGGCACTATCCCCTAGTCCTTCCTGCCAGGGTCTCCGGGGCTGGCCTTGGTTTCCTGGAGGCCCACAGGAGCGTGGGCAGGGAGCCAAAAGGTGTAAAGATTCTTTGTTGAATCTAGATCTTTCTTTCAAATGGAAAAATGTTATGCAACCGAGCTCTGTGCAGACGGGGCGGGGCGGAGCATGCGGTGGGCCCTGGGGAAGAGTTGGGGAGATGGCACTTGAGGGGGGATGGCGGGAGGCCACTTCGGTCTGCCACCACCTCCTGAAGGAAGGACAGCTGCCTGGTGGCGAACTCCCGCATGCCGGGCTCCGGGCCTTTTCTGAGATCTTCGAAAGCTCCAGGAGAGGAGGGGCCGGTCAGGGTGACCCTGCAGCCATCCGCGTGGAGCGGGGGCATGGGGGACACACTCCCTGGGGGTAGCCCCTCATTCCAGCCCCAGGTCGAGTGGGGGTGGCAGGACAGGCGGGCCCCACTTCCTGCGACTTCCGGGCCCAGGGGAAGGGGTGGGAAGGTGGGGGTGGCAGTGCTTCCTGTCCCCAAGCCGCCCACCCCCGGCCCCTCACGCCTGGGAGCCCTCCCAGAGCCGGACTTAATTAAGCTCCAGGCAGAGTGGGTGAGCCCCCTCACAGGGGGTGGGGTGGGGGTGAGCTGCTTACTTCTCAACAGCAGCTTTGTGTCCGAGTCATTTAGTGTCTGGGACGCGGCCCGGGTGTGGTAGCAGAGGGTGTAACCTGTGCGACAGACGGAGGGGCACGCTGGCCACGGGACAGGGCCTGTCTCCTTCTCGGGGCTCAGACCCACTGTGCTCCTCCAAGGACCCCTCACCCATCACTTTTCTTCTCTTGCAAGTGGGCCCCGAGCTCCAGATGCAGCGGTGTGGCAGGTGCCAGGTGGGTGGGCCAGGGCCAGGGAGGGTCAGGGTGCTCGGGGGCAGGCCCGGGGGGTTCCCAAGTCCCACCATCCCCAGTCACCCCCGGTCACCTATGAAGAGTGCTGCCCAGGTCTTGATGTGGTGGTGGCAGCTGTGCAGGCAGCTGAGGGCCTGTGCGAAGTGGATGCTGAACTCCTCCTGGCTGCTGGACATCTGGCCGGAGGACAGCATGCCTGTCACACGCTGCGGCCAGGGGGACGGGCCCTGCAGAGGCCGTGGACCGGCTCCTGCCTCGCCTTCCCAGCTGCAGCCCAGTGTCCCCTGGCCCCAGGCCCCTCACCAGGCAGGCCCAGAGGAAGTGGCGGGCGCTGAGGCCCCGCTCCCACGCCAGCGAGCAGAAGAGGGTGTGTCGCAGCCGCCATCGGAGCAGCTCCGCGCAGCGGTAGTAGGCGAACTTGGCCTGCTGTGGGGACAGCGTGGGGGGGCGCTGCTGAGCGGGAGGCCCCAGGCCGGCTTCGGGAAGGGTCTGATTGGCGTGGCCTGTCCCTCCCGGGCTCCCCAGCTCCTTCCCATCTGCCCGACTCTCCTGGCTGCACTGCGACCCCCCGTGACTCCTGCTCTTTGGCTCCCTGGGGAAGCCCCTGGGGAAGCCCCTGGGGAAGCCCCGTGCTCCGTGCAGCACCACAGCCCGGCTGGACTGCAGGCGGCTCTCCGTTTGTCTTGGAACTGGCCTCTTATTGTCCATTTCCCCAGTGGCCGGGAACCCTGGGAAGGCCGAGCTGTGTCTTAATGGTCTGGGAGTGGCACATGGGCTGGCACACAGTAGGGCTGGCACACAGTAGGGCTGGCACACAGTAGGGCTTGATCCACATTCCAACAGATTTAACAAACAACCTGAGCCTCCAACAGATGTTAGGCGCTGGGGACACCGCAGTGAGCAGAACAGGCTGGGTCCTGCCCGCACAGATGGCACAGCTGCACATCTGCCCGTGCGTGCACACGGGGCGGGCCGAAGATCGTGTGCTCGTGCGTGTGTGCGCGTGTGTGGGTATGACGCGGAGAGGCAGGCAGACTGTGAGGACGGAAGCCTACATAGGAGCCAAACCTGCTACCCCGGGGGTAGCCCTGCTGCTGCCGCAGACCCCCCCGCAGCCTGCCCACCCTGGCCGCCTGCGGGTCCCCGGCCCCAGCAAGGCAAGGGCCCAACAGCAGGCACTGACCGTGACGACGGCCGGACAGCGGTCCTTCAGGTGCAGGAGCAGCGGCACCATGCTCTGCTGCACCTGCGTCTTCAGGCTCCTCGGCTCCCTGCCGGCCATCGCTGCCACCAGGTCCCCAAATAGTGCCATGGCCGCCACCCGGATCCCGTCTCTCTCCTGCAAAGCAGAAGCTCAGAGCCACAGCCCAACCTGCCCAGGGGTCCCCACTCCACCCGACCTGGGACCCCATGCCCCATGTGGGGATGGGCTCCGCTCCCTCAGCCGGACGCTTTCTCCCTGGCTCGGGCTCCCAGGGCAGGGCTGTGTTACCCACTTCGGACAGGGCACCTGGGGCGGGTCCCAGTCACCCTCAAGGACCTAAATCATTGCTCTCTCACACCGACGGGCCAAGTGTCACATGCGTAGCTGGGGGCAGGACTTGTCCCCTGGTTTTCCAGCGAGGGAGAAACAGTCCCCGTGAGCTCTCAGACCCGGCGGGAAGGTGAGGACCCGCTGGGCTGGACACAGCGCTGCGACTGCCTCAGCCACGCGGCGGGCGGCTGAGTGCTACCTGGCAGCCTCTCGGGGGCCAGTCTACTCGCGCGGGGCACACTCGGGCAGCTCCCCTGGGCCTCCGCCTCCCCGCCTCGCAGGTCCTCCCTGTCTTTGAGGGGGGTGGTCCAGGTGGGGCTCGAGGAGGGCGTGCCCCACCCCAGCCCGGGGCACACTCACGTCCTCAAAGAAGGAGCGGGAGTTGATGGCGATGCTGAGGCTCTGGGCGCCCACACCGTGCACGCCCAGGCGGTGCAGCGTGTCCGACACGGTGCCCATGAGGCGCACCACCACCGGCTCGCTGCTCCGGAAGAAGCCGTCCAGGAAAGGGGGCAGTTGTCGGCACAGCAGGCTTCCCTGGGGGCAGTGGCCGCAGTGGGACAGGGCGCGGGGACCGGCTGCCCTGTCCCTCCTAGACCCCCATCCGCCTGGGCACCTGCACGGCCCCTACCCGCTGGGGCCCCCCCCAGGCTGCGTGCTCTGGACTGCGCTCTCCCCTCTGAGCCCCGGGCTCCCCGGGCTTCAGGCAGTATTAACCCCACGCCAGCAGGTTCCCCGGTCCCTCCTTCTCCTGTCCCCGTGCCGGCCCGGAGGCCCCTCGCCAAGTCCCGGGGACCACCACTCTCCTCCTCCACTCTGCCCCGCTGCCCCCCGTTTCCTGGCCTCTCCACGGGTCAGAGGAGGCTGGCGGGGCTGGACAACACAAGCTGGTCAGCTGCACATACTCGGGTCACCAGCTTCCCACGTCGCCGGGAGTTCCGTGTGCCAGTGGTGGCTCCAGCCCTCCTAGGTCGCAGTGACCCGTGTCCATTTTTACAGCACTTTAAAACCTGAATCTGTTCGGGGCCAATGTTGTCTGTTCCACGTGTGTGTAGTGGGTTCATGAACCGTCGGGAGGCAGCGTGTTGGCGGATGGATGCTTCCTGCCATCTGGGCCCTTGTCAACGACTTGCGTGCAAAGCAGTGACGTCGTACAATGTTCAACAACTTTCAGGCGACTTCGTTGGCGTCCTACGCTGGCTCCGGTTGGTTTTACAGCATTGAATTCTTTTCCAGCCAGTGCATCATTTAACAGCAACACACACCTTCTGAGCACCTACTGGGTGCGGCCAGCCCTGGACGCGGCCCCAGAATGGAATTCTAACGGGAAGGACCAGAAAATAAACAGCGCACACAACACGGAGCGTGTCGGAGGTGCGGAGTGACGGAAGGTTAAGCCGGGGCGGCGGGCTGGCCGCAGGTGGCCCGGGTGGTTGTTGAAAAGCCTTAAGTAAGTAAGATCAGAAGTAGTGTCACCGAGGAGGTGACAGCTGAGCGAATTCTTACAAAGACACGCTGGAAGCGTTCCAGCGGAGGGAGCGGTGTGCACAAAGGCCCCGGGCAGGAGGGCGCCTGCCCTGTTTGTGGGCAGAGGAGACGGATCACGGGAGCCCGCTGGCTCGGAGTGAGGACCGTTGTCAAGGAGAAAGGGACCAGGGCAGGGTTGCGACGAGTGGCCTTGCAGGAGGAACGCTGGCGGCTTCAGTGGGGGCAGCAGAGGAGTGGGAGGAGGGGTTGGCTGCTGGCTGCACGGTGGGATTTTGGTGCCTGGACAGCCCCGAGGTTTGAGGCTGGAGTGGCTAGATGGGTGGCGTCCCCATCGAGACGTGCGGGGACTGCAGGAGAAGCCGTACAGCAGTTAGAGTCAAGGCAGGAGCACAGGTCCGGGGCGGGGATGGAGCGGTGGGCGCAACTGGCCAGCGGTCGGCTTCAGAGGGGGAGACCAGCTCGGGAGCGAGTGTGGACAGAGGACAGGAGGGAGCGCGTCCCGGGTCCCGGGGGAGACTCAGCGCTCGCGGCCAGGAGCGGGGAGACCAGCGCAGGCGAGCAAGCACCATCGCCGTGCGGGAGGAAAATGGGGCGGGGTGTCCTGGGCCCGTGGACAGGGAGGTCACCCAGGCACGTGTGCCGAGCGGTCCAGTGAGATGGGCACTGGGTGACGATGGGGGAGGTTACAGGCGACCAGGACGACAGTGGCTTCAGGCTGGTGGGGGGGGGCTGCCAGCTGGGGCGCCGTGCGCCTCGCTCGATGGCTGCGTCAGCCTTGCTCTTGGTCGAGTGTGTCGGTCACACGCGTGCATCACGCTGACAGCGTCTTCATGAAGCACGATGCGCTTTCCAGCACCATTCCCGGAAACAGTGTCCGGGCCGTCAACGTGCTTGTCGCTTGACAGTGGGGAGCAGAGACTATGGACTGGCTGTGCGGACCCCTCCCTCAGGGGCAGCACCGGCCCCTGGACAGCACCCCGCTTCCTCAGCAGGACGACCCCTCCTGTAGCCAGGTGCAGGGGGCCCAGAAAGAGATGCATCTCCCAGCCTCCGTGCACACAGGCGTGACCCCTTGGCCAATGGGACTGGAGCAGAAGCCAGCACAGGCTGTGGGGTGCGCCCAGGCCCTTCCGGCAGGCGAGGGCGGCACCCAGGGTGGGCGAAATGGAGGAGGGGGAGCCTGTCCCCCGTGACTGCCGGGCGGGACGGCCCGTGGTGGGAGAGGAGCTCGCTTCTGTCCCGTTTAGGCTGCGGTGATTAGCTTGGGTCTTCTGCGCGTAGCTACGCTCTGGCCTGCGAACACACGTGCCCCGGCCAGTGCGATTCGTTTGATGGTGGACGCAGGCGGCTGGGAGCTGCAGACCAGTGAGGGGAGACATCCAGGGGGCCGTGTGTTCGTGCGTCCTGGCAGAGGGTGCCTCTCTGTGTCTGGGCGGTGACGGTGGACCCTCCCTCAGCCCGGTGGCCTGCCGAGGCTGCAGGCCCACAGCCCACTTGGGAGCCGACCCCTTCCCCAGCCTACCACATGAGGCGGGAACTAGCATTCCCCCCACCCATTTCACAGGTATGGACACTGAGGCCGGAGAGCTGGTGGGTGCTGCAGAGTGGACTGGATGGGGTGGCCTGCAGGTGCAGCACCTGGGCAGTGAGCCGTCCCGCAGACCCTGGGACCCGCCACGGGGCTGACGGCAGTTCCAGGGCCCGAGGGGCCCGCCGCCTCCCCTGCTGCTGCCCCCAGCTGTGGCCTGTGGGCTGTGGGCTGTCACGGCACCGGGTGCACTCGGAAGGGAATGGAGATGAGGGGCCAGCAGCGGTCAGCGGACCCTTCCCTATGATTCTTGGGGGAGGTGTCCTCTGTGGGCCAGCTGTGGGGTGCCGCCCAGCGGGCTCCTCCTAGGCACCCGGTGGTCTGCACCCACATCTGTCCCTTTCTGGGGCACGGAGGAGATGGCGGCAGAGGTCGTCACCTGTCCCGCAGCCCTGTCGAGAGGTTGCCCAGCCCCATTCTACAGATAGGAAACTGAGGCCCAGAGAGTGTGTGTCCCCAGCCACAGGGCTGGAAGGGACAGAGTGGGCCTCGTCTGCACCGCGAGCCCCAGCCATTTGTGCGCCTGCCGTGGGGCCCCCCCTTACCTTCTCCGGGTGGAAGAGGATGTTCCCCAGGCCCTGTAGGCCCAGCACTCGGACCTCGGGGCTGCGGTCCCTCAGGCTCCGCGCCAGCACGGTCAGGGCGGCCTGCTCTGGGAGCACGCCCAGGAGGTCGGGGCTGTAGAGGAACTGGGTGACCCCAGGGGCAGGCAGGTCAGCCTGGCACCCTCTCGCAGGAGCGGGGCTGGCAGGAGTTCTGGGGTGGGGGGTGGTTGGCCAGCACCCTCTGGGTATCTTAGTATTGGAAACCCACCTCCAAGCTGGTTTGACCCTTCAGTGTACGGCTGGGGAAACCGAGGCTCAGAGGTGGAAAGGGTCTTGCCTGAGACTACACAGCAAGGCTGGGGCCAAAGTCCATCATCGGCCTGGCTCTTGGGGCCCCTTGGGACAGAGGCCCGTGGTGGGTGGCCCAGACCTTCCTGCTGGTGGCCTGGGGGCGGCACCAGGCTTGGGTCTGGGTTTGTCCCTATGATGTTCATTATGGAAATGACACAGGTCCCCGACCCCTGCCCCATGCACATGGCGGCAAGGCCCGCCTGCTCCTGCCTGCTCCTGCCACGGCCTTCCAGCCTCACGGTCAGGGGTGGGAGGGAGGAAGGGCTGAGATGCAGCCAGGGGAGCCTGACCTACAGCCAGCATCCTTAGTCCCGCAGGCCACGGGCCGGCAGGGAGGGGCTGTGGGGGCCGAGAGGTGGGAGACCCAGCCAGGAGCCCTGGGGTGGGGAGGAGGGGTGGAGGGGTCAGGCTGAGATCCTGGTGTGGGTGGGTCCTGATGGGGCGCTGAGGCAGCTGGAGAAGGGGTTCAGGTGGGCTCCGAGGGGCCCCCTGCCCTGCCCCACCCCGCCCTACCTCGTTGAGGATGAGCATGGCCACCTTCCTCGCTCGCACCTCCTGGCTCTGCAGGGCGGGCAGCAGCTGGCGGGTCACTGCCTCGATCTGCCGACAGCGGTTATGCACCATGGCCCTGGGGCGCGGGGCCAAGGGCGGGTCAGGGCCCGGCTGGCAGGAAAGCCCTGTGCCCGCCCTCCAGGCACCACCCACCCTGCTGGGACTAGGTGGCTGGAGGCATCACCAAGTGCGCGTGGCACCATCTCTTAGAGCAAGGTCTCGCTCCCTCTGCACCCACTGGGTGCCAGGCCTGGGGCGCACACGGGAGACAGAAGAGCAGGCACAGCCCTTGTCCTCTAGGTGGCCTCGGGCTGGTAGAGCCTGGGGGAGACACCTGCATCCCTGTCCCTGTGACTCAGGGTAGCCCATACACCCAGCCTCTGGAGCAAGCCCCGCCCCTGCCTGGCCCCGCCCCTCCCGGTCCCGCCCCTGCCTGGCCCCGCCCTACCTGGCGAGGAGGCCCACGCCCTGCGGGTAGGTGTGGATGGTGGTGAAGAGGTCCCAGGAGCCCCGCAGCTCCAGGTGAGCAAAGTCCTGCCAGTGCCCCGTGGTGGACAGCAGGCTCTTCAGTGCCTCCAGGGACGTGCTGTCGAGGAGCAGAGCAGGTCGGGGGCCAGTCCTGGCCCCGGGAGGGTGCCCTGCCACCCAGGTCAGTCCCTTCCTTGTAACAGAAACGGTTGCGTTTCCCGAGTCACGGTGTGGACAGGGTCCTGGCTGAGCCTCGTGGGACAGTGTCCTTTAAATGTCGGGTAAGAGTACAGAGCAGGCAGGACGAGGGGTAAGAGGCGGCGAGCGGGGTGTGGCTGGCATCACGGGAGCCCGGAGAAGGGTCCCTCTGCGGCATCTGACAGCCCTCCGCCCTCAGAGGTCACGGAGAAGCCCGGCCCCACCGCCACGCGCTGTGCCAGAGAGAGTGCCCGCGTCACGCGTGGCGGCTCGGTCAGGTGCCCCTCCAGGAGACTCCCCTGCGGTGGCCCAGAGACCCTCTACTGCCACACCCCCGGGAGAGGACGAAGCAGCCCGGGCAGGTTATGTGTCCTGTCGTCGTCCCACGGCCTGGCCTGGGACGGCCGAAGTGGAGTGGAACCCGAACCCCCCGCACCCCATGTCGTGGCCACAGGCCGGGGGCTGCCAAAGGCCCTGTAGGAAGACACGGGCGGAGGGCCCAGGAATGCAGGCCCGGGAAGAGCAGGGCTAGCCCCTCTCTGTGCCCTCCCCACCCCTGCACTGCCCGGAAGGAGGCTGTCAGCGCTGACCGGGCACGTTCTGAGATTTGCAAAACCAAGTGTCAAAGGATGGAACGCCACACCGTGAACGTCCCCAGTGGTGCCAACTCAAGTGCCAGCTGGTCTGTCATCTCGCCCCAAGCCATGCCACTAAAACGAGCAGCCTTTCCCAGGTCACTGGTCTCAGCCACAGTGATGACGGTTCCAGGAGAAGGGGACTCTGGGGCAGAGAGGCATTTTGTTCCGTAATGATGCCGGGGAGCTCCTGGTTCCACAATCGCCTGTCCTGCAGCCACACCGGAGCTTCCAGAAAGACAGCGTCCGGCTGACTGGGGCATTCTCAGGACTGTGGTGCGGGGTGGGTGGGAGTGGGGGGCGTGGGGCGGCCTGCCTGCATCAGGTGGCAGAAGCAGAGGGACCGTGGCATCTATTTCTTACCCTCCTCCGTTCTGGGAGGAGGACGTTTTATTAGCTTATTAGGGAAGATTCATGCATTTTGCACGGTTGATTTGAATAAAAACGAAACTTTATGCACATTCGAATTCGGAAATAATATGAAAAGCGACATTTCTTTTCGGTGGCGCGCCTTGGGGAAAGCTGTTAAAACTGACAAATTGCGTGAAGCACATCATAATACAAACAAATGGAAGGAGCTAGGCCCCCGCGGTCTGCAAGACCCGCTCACTGGATTTCTCAAGACAGGCCTGGTGCAGAGCGAAGACGGGGCTGCCAGCCTGAACCGCCACCGTCGGCGGTGGTACGTGACCCTCCCACGCAGGTCTCGTCCATGCCGTCACACGGGCGGAGGCCGGCGACCGCCCATGACATCAGCACAAAAATGTACTGGGGTCCAGTGGAGTGCGCGGGAGACCGGAAAGGCATCTGCCTCAGGGGCTTGGCAGTGGCCAGGTGGATGCCCCTGCTGTGCCCAGCGACACACGGACGTCCCGTGGGGCCCAGGCGAAGCCTCTGGCTTCGTGGAGGACACATCCATCTCAGAGCCCCCGTAAGGGCTGCCCTCAGGGAAGGCGTGGCACACGGGGCAGGAGCTGTCCCATGGCGTCCCCGTGTGCCGGTCGAGTCTCTGCTGCCCAGCGCCTTTGGGACACGCACCTGCTCTCAGTGCTTTTCGCTGCCGCGCTGGCCACAGATAGGGTTTGGGGGGTTGACTCGAGTCCCCCAAAAAGCTATGTCGAAGGCCTGACCCTCGTCCCTGGGAAGGCAGCATCACGTGCCCTAATCCCCGGTCTCTGGGGATGGGGTGTCATTGGGAAATAGGGTCTTTGGAGAGGGAATCTAGTTAGGGCGAGGCCACTGGGGGGGCCTAAACCCTCGTGGTGTCATTGTAAGAAGAGGGACGCTGACGTGAGGACACACAGGGAGAAGGCCACGTGGCCACGGAGGCAGAGGCTGGACTGATGCACGTACAAGCTGGGGAACACCGGGGATGGCCGGGAGCCGTGGCCACGGAGGCAGAGGCTGGACTGATGCGTGTACAAGCTGGGGAACACCGGGGATGGCCGGGAGCCCCCAGAAGCTGGAGGGGGCAGGCAGGGTCCACCCCCACGGGTTGCACGGGGAGCACGGCCCTGAGGCCACCTTGACCTGGGACTCCTCGTCTCTGGAACTGTGAGAGCGTAAGTGTGCGTTGCCTTAAGCTGCTGGAGAGTGGTGCTTAGTTACTCAGCCCTAGGAAGCGGCTTCCAGGGTGCGGCCTTACCTCTGGGGGCTGGGCGCGGCCGCCCCCTGGGCCTCCTGGCCCACCCGGGGACCCGCGGGCAGGTTCAGCTCCAGGACGTAGAGGATCTGGGTGAGGAGGGCCAGCAGCAGCTGGGGGTAGGCCTCCTGCACGGCCTCCTTGAACTCTCGGGCGAACTGCAGCTCGTGCAGCGTGTTCATGGCCTGTTGGGGTGGCAGGGGATGCTGAGGCCCTCGAGCCCTGCAGCCTGGGGGCCAGGCCCACTGACCAGCCGTCCAGCAAAGCCTGTGTCGGCCGCGCCTCCCCCTCCCTGCTCACAGCCTCCGGGACCAGGGCCAAGTCCCGGAGACGCCCCTCCCTCCCCCGGGCCTGGCTCTGTCCATTCACACTGGTACTTGCATCCGAGGCCTGAAGGGGTATTCGGTCACAAAGTCCTCAGGGTGGGGGACAGCACTGGGCAGTGACGAGAAGGGGAAGGCGGGGACTTGGGCACGGCAGGTCACGGGGTAGGCCACCCTGCTGACCCCACGTTGCTGGCACGGGGGCTGGCATCAGCCCCGGGCTGGGGGTATCAGCAAGAAGGGCCGACGGAGGCCAGGTCTGGGCGCGGGGCGGGACTTTCCTCTGCCACCGTGTTCGGCTGTCCCACACCTCCGCGGCAGGCAGCCGCGTGCCTAGGGGCCTCCTGGAGAGGGGGCTCTCAGCCTGGAGAAAACTATGACTGGGAACAGCTGCCACCCCTCCGAGTCGGCCGAGGGAGCCCGAGAGAGACAGCTGTGGCTGTGTTAGGGGCGAGGCCTGGGCTTGTGGGGGAAGTGGGGGCAGGTAGGCTCCCACGGGGGGGCGGTGGCTGCGGGAGGCAGCCCCCAGGGCTCCAGCAGGACCTGTACCCCCAGAACCCCGTGCAGGGCATTCTCTCCCCACCCTTGCTCTTGGCCTGGACCGGACCCGAAGTCCTCCTGCTCCAAGGCCGCCCACACTGCCGTCCTGAGTCCCAGGTCCATACCACCTGCCCGAGTGCCCTGCCCAGCCCTGTGGGACCACCACTGTCCCGCTTCACAGAGGGGAACCAGGCTCTGGCGTGGTCCAGCGCCCTTGGCCAGGAAGTGGGAGCTGGGGCCCGTGTGGTCAGCCCCTAGCTGGGTGGCCTCTGAGGACTCCTCCTCCAGGCTGGGCTGGTCTCCCCCCTCCCCAGGGCCTGGCACACAATGGGCACCCAGACACCACTGGCATCTGAATGCCCACGTGAAGTGGCTTCGGACCAGTGGCAGCGGGGAAGGGCATCTGGGGAGGCGGCAGAGACTCACGGCCAGTGAACGCAGGTAGGTCTTCTCCTTGGGCTGGGGGCTGCTGTCGCTAGCGCCGATGGGCAGAGGCCGCTCCTGCAGCCAGGCCAAGAGCATCGCCAGCACCAGGCGGCTCACAGGCTGCTCGGCCCCCAGGGCCCTCCACAGCTGGGAGGCATGGCTGTGGGCAGAGAGGGGCTGTGAGGGCTCAGCCACACCAGTGCCCCACTGTGACCAGGGCCCAGGGAGGGGCCAGGCTGGGTCCCGAGCCAGAACTGGGCAGGGCGGGAGGCTGAGGGGTGGATCAGGGCAACCGCGGGTGGGGACACAAGGGGCGGGTGGCACAGCAGTGTACGTGGCTGGGGGGAGACAGGAGACCGGGCCAGCTGCCCGACCCCTGTTCCTGCATCTCTCCTTTTAGGCCCTTCTCACCCAACTGCAGACTCCAACTTGGTCACCTTCAGTGGCTCCCAGGTACTGGCGGGACATGCCCAGTGGGCATTCAAAGCCGTCAGCCTCTGACCCCTGCCCTCTGACCTCTAGCCCCTGCCCGCCTCTCTCCTCTCCTTCCTCTGGGCCTTCGCATATGCGATCACTCCTTGTGCTTGTAGTATTCTTACTTGCGGCCTACTCCCACTGAGCCCCTTCCTCCTGGAAGCCCGCCAGGGCTACTGTTTCCCAGGCTTGGGTTGATGAGGTCCAGCCCCGCTGAGCCCAGCCCGAGTCAAGTCAGGGCCCATCCCTGGGGTGTGCAGAGCTTTGCAGTGTCTTTGTGGCCATTTTGCAGATGGAAAGACAGGACCGGAGAGAGAGAGAGAGGGTGTGCCCTGATCGGAGCTCTGCCTCTAACTGGGGAGCTGGCACTGGACCAGCCTGCCTGGGCCTATGGCCTTTCCGCCTGTTCCAAGAGCATGGCCCTGTGGGAACTGGGCGGGCAGGGGGCGCTGCTCCCCAAGATGCAGGCGACTCTGGCAGCCCTCTGCTTTCTATGCTAGGTTGTCTTCGGACCTGAGTGCGGGTGGCACGGGCTGGAGGGACAGGAGGTTCACTAGAATGATGGTAGGGGCTAGGGGGCCATAGCTGGGGGACTGGATGAGCCCCTGGCTTTAAGACAGATCCAAGGGGTCTGCCCCTGAGCCTTGGGGAAGCCCCATCCGACCCCGGACTGGGTGGGCACACAGCTCAGAGGACTCTGGGACTCTCCCAAGCGTGGGCACTGCCCACATGAAAGAACGGGGCCTTCGGAGTCGGAACGGGGCCTCTGCCCCCTGCTGGCTGTGTGATCTCAGGCAAGTCGCTTCGCCTCTCTGGGGGCAAAGCCTGCCTCGAGATGCCTCAGTGAGATGATTCTCCAGGACCAAGGGTGCCCAGAGGGCCAACGTTTCTATTTTGCTCCCTGTGGGCATCTGTTACTCAGCCGACATGTTATGTGCTGAGAACTATCACATGCAGGCCCCCTTCCAGAGGACCCGGAATGACAGAGCCAGTGACCAGGTGGGAATGACCCCTGAAGGTTTGACACGTGTGGCAAACAGCGGTGTGTGCATAAGTCGGGGAGGGGAGGAGCCAGCAGGAGGGTGTATCAGGGTGTCATCGATGTTAAGTAGGGCAGTCGGGGAAGCTTTCACTAAGAAAGGGACATGGGCACAGACCTGAGGGGACAGCCTTCCTCCAAGTATACGTGACATGCTAGGATGGAACCTAAACACAGAATGAGAGGGGAAGAGGCCAGATAACGAAGGAAAGCTGGAAGGGTCCGGACCGCACAGTTCCGTGCACGCCGCAGTACTTAGGACGCAGCACATTATTCCATCTTCTCCTAAAAAAGGACACTTAGCCAAGATGGGAGCGAAGGCCCATCGTAGAGCTGCGCCCCCGAGGCTGCCTGTACACGGTCAACGCGATAAAACGGAACGAGACAAACGCTCGCTGTGCAGAAAGAAACAGCCGGGAAAGCTGCATGACTCAGCTGCGCACTGGTGGAAGGAGACAGCTCTCCTGTGGTTTGGAAACACAAAATCTGTTTTGGGGTCTGATTCACACCACCCGTGTGGCCCCAAGGAGCTCGAGCAGAGAGTTTAAGTCTGAAATGTTCTCAGGCTGATAAGTGCTCCCAGGTGACCGAGAAGCTCCATAAATCTAGGTGTGAGGCGCCATCAATGTCACATGCAGTCCGTTTCCAGAGACGCCGAGATGTGAAAAATGTGCTTCTCCCAGAGCCGAGGAAATCAGATATAAATCCCAACGCAGATAAAACTCGAGGATAGACTTCTGGGCCGCTGAAGACCATCGCACGTGGCTGGGTCCTCACTTCTTGAAATCTCTTTGAAAAACAACACGGAGCAAAAAAAAAAAAAAAAAAAGAAGAAGTAAAACGACACAAAAACTGTGACCTCAGAGAGCACTCGACCTTCGACATTACCACGGGCGAACAGGAAAAATGCCAAGCCCAGCCCGCCACCTCCGACACGCCCGCCCATGCCTGCGCCGCCACGAGGCGGTGGCTGGTAATAACAGGAAAGAGACTGAACAGCTCGTTCGACTTGAAAGGCAGCCTTTAAGAGGTACAGATTTGGGAAGAAAAAAACGGGGAAAGAGAGAAAGGAGCACGCTTTCGGAAATTAACTGGTGAAGGAGAGAGACACAAAAGGGAGTAAGTTATGGCCCAAGAGAGAAAGGAGAATCCAGAATCCTGGAGGACACATGGCCCTCTCACCTACCGCCAAACCACAACATCTACTGAGTTCTCTGGACTTCGCTATGCCGACAGAAGAGGGTGCCATTGACCTTGAAATCCTATTAAACATTCCAGCAGTGTTTTACACGAACAGGGACACAATTAACAGAGTAATTGCAAAAAAAAAAAATCAGAAGACAAAATCAACACCCCTCCAATGAGGGAACTCTCCCCTGAGAAACAATCGTGATGCCGAAAAGGTGTAAGATAACATT